GGATAACAAAGAATAAGTTTGTAGGTTTATGAAGAGATAAACTAATGTGTACTTTAAGTAGTATCCCCCCACCCCAAATTCTTAGCAACAAAATTAATTATGCCTAAAGGAAATACTGAAATTCTTATAATCACAAAACTATAATTTTCTTATGGATTTAAGTATAAAAACATAAATTAAACAAGACTGACAAAATTCACTGTTTCATTAAGTATTCAAGTGTTTCATCAAATAATTAAACATGAATCAGTAAAATGCATCCTTTTATTAAATTAATCTTTGAAAACATTTTACCAGCCTGTTGATCTTTTACATTTTTGCCATGTTAATGGTGAATATTTAATGTGTCTGCCAAAAATACCTGCTATGATGCATGTGTAGCTTTAAAAATTGTTTTAAGACTTTAGTTCCACAAAGACTTTGATGCACACTAATATTTAAGTATTTCTTTTCTCATTAGATTTCTTTGGCCACACAGAAATCAGTCCTTGACTGGCACTACACACTGATGTGAAAATGACAAGAACTTTTTTTTTTTTTTACAAAAATGAGTGTGAGGTTGTGATCAAAGAGGAGGGCAGCTTGGTGTGGTCAAAAGTACAACCTAGATACAAAAGACCTGAGCCCTACTCCCGGCTCTGGTGTGTAACCTTTCTGGGCCTCAGTTTACCCTTGAAATAAGGGGAAAATATGTATGCTCATCACCAGGACATATCAATGGTTCCTGCAGCACCCAACCAATGTAAATGAGTGAGGCATGGAACAAGGACAGCCACTGGGCTGTGCCTGTCTCATACTAAGGGGCAGCCCCTGCTCACCTCACAGCTGAATATGGTGAAGGAGCTCAGTGTGTCAGATCACCTGATTGTTCAGGAGAAGCCAGAAGTTCAGATTTATGAGAACCTTCCTGACTTTAAAATGTTAGCAATATTTTTATAAACACTATTAAGAGCCACTTTTAAACCAGGCAAAACTTCAAAGGCCAGATCTAACCGCAAGCTGCCAATCTACAGTCATGAGAACTCAGAAGAGCTAAGGTCTCTATTAGGTCAAATGAATCTAGACTAAATTGACTACACTTACAACTTTCCCATTTCCCAAACAAAATTTCTTTATCAGGAATTGTTTCTCCATTTTCTGATCTAACCAAGTATTGCTCAAAGATGGTCCACTAGTTGCCAAGTTTCCATAAATTGCTAAAGACTTAATTTAAACTTGAAGATGAACACAAAGGACAGAAGACAAAGTTTAGACTCCACAATAAGCTAAAATTCCAAAGAGAAAGTTTAAAAGTGTTTTTGTTTATTTCTTTTTTTCCCGTGGAGATTCAATATCCTTTTATAACAGATGAAATAAGACACTATCTATCATTCATGCACTGTGGCTTCCAGAACAATTATAATGTAACATGTACTTGGAACTTGATTGTAAACACCATTCATCCCCCATCTCCAATGCAGGAAAAATATAATAAGAAACATCTGTTGAGTAGTAACTGTGTCAGAACCTGTATGAAGTACTCTATATATGTTATTTCATGGTTACAAGAATACTGGGGCGGGGAAAGGGGTGGTCAGGAGGGAGAGGTAATATTTTCCTGCTTCAAGCAAGGAAAATTCTTATCAAAGACTTGGCAAGTTAGAATACTAACATCCTAATTCCTACTGTTGTTTATACCATGCTAACTTGTCATTTATAAGTGAGTGACATTTTTAATCATCTGGACAAAAGAAAACAGGATAAATTAAAACAGAACATAATTGATATGTAGGAGAAAAACAAGACATTGTAAGAATAATTGGTGTCTTTGAAGGAAAGAATTACAAAGTAGAGAAGAAAAGCATTCGTGATGGAAAAAAATCATCCTGAAATTGAGAACAACAGATTATTTCAAAAGAAAGAATGCAACAGGTTCCATGAAAAACTGACACAGAACTTAACCATGACAGCCTAGATGACTTATTAAACTTCAAGGACAGAAAGAAAACATAAGGATTCTTGGCAGAAAAAGCAAGTCAACTGCATGGGGGTAAACTTTGATACTGACATAGAACTTCTTCATGGTCACAATAGAAGCTAATGGAGCAAGGACTACATAATCCTGAGGAAAGGACACTGTGGCTCATGGATATTACAACTAGCCAAATAATAATTCAAATACAGGAATAAAAGATGCACATTTCAAACATAAAAAGACACAGGAATTGAGCCCTTTTTGAAAGACACACACACACACACACACACACACACACACGCGTGCACGCGCACACACACAGTGAAAATTCTAGCAAAAGAAAGGAAGAATAAAAGTTTTAAAGGTTGATTTTTGAGATGCCATGATGAGCAGTGATTCTACTTAGTTATAAAACGTAAGACTAGATAATATCTGAAATGAGATTTATAAAACAATGCTAACATTATTGATCCTCACATGAAAACATAAGTGCATGAAAAAAGTTGGGATATGAGTAGAAGTGAGACTACAGGAAGTACAGTATAAAATACCAATGCTCTGTTGTTTATAATAGGGAGCCATTCTCTGCTTATCCATTCCCTGTAATTTGCATTATCCCATATTTAAATATCTGAAAAATACATATAATTTAAGATTACTCAGATTCAACAAATGTTAAGGTTTTGCCACATCAATATTTTGAAATTAAAAGCAAATACTATTCAGTATTTGAATTATACTATTCAGTATAATTTTCTCAGTCAAGGAACAAACGCTTTCCAAGAAAGCCAGGAGAACAAAGGTTACCTGGGCTTCTATTATGTTCAGGCACCAGACTGTATATAGACCAACCCACCTAAGCATCACAGCAACTCTGCCATCTATCCTTGCAGTTTGAGTCGACCTTATCCAGAATGCTTGGGACCAAAGGTATTTCAAATTTCAGGGTTTTGGGGGACTTGGGAATATTTGCATAAACTTTACTAATTGATCATTCCTGACTCAAAAAATAAAAATCTGAAATGTTCCAAAATTGGAACATTTTGAGCATCTTATCGGTACTCAAAAAGTTTCACATTTTGGATTTCAAAACCTCAGATCAGAGTACTGTATTGGCACTGTTCAGAGAAGAAAATGAGGCTCAAAGAGATGGGAACAGCTCCTGTATGTTCAGTCAGTTGCTTGTCCTTTTAGTCCTGCTCCACACCCCTTCCTCCGTGATCCCACCCTGCCCAGCTGTAGCATGTGAGCGCCCCTACAGCACATTTTTCTGCTAACACAAAATGACTGACGTCTCATTCTAGGCATGTGGGAATTAATCCCCGGACTCTGGGTTGGAGGAGGACACAGTATTGTTACACTGTAGATAACTGAAGTCAGCAATTTTTGGTTCTTTTATTTTGATAATACCTGTAGTCACCTTCACTTTAAGACAGTTCCATAACTGCTCAGATAAAAAGGAGAAACATCTTCCCTTTTCTTTTAAAAAAATCTAATAACTCAGTATACTCATCTATTAATGAGAGGTAAATTCATACTCTATATAACTCATAATCCCCGTTGACCAATATCATAATTACAAAAACAACCTCAAGTGCAACTTGCAGATTTGCAAATCCGTCATAGATATTTTGCAAAGCAGTTTTGAAATTTCTTGCCAGCCATGCTGCTTACATGTTATGTACCGTACACATACTTTGTAACACTCCTCCTAACTCTGCACACTGTCTTCAAAACAAGCAGGAACACTGGATGCTCTGTGTGTGAAACCTCATTAGTCCTGCAGGAAGTGGTGTGAGATTTGGGGTTCCCATGACACATTTTTATCTAATAGCACAGACTATAACCATTTAGAAGCACAAGAAGCACAATGATTCAGCTATTTTGAGAAACTAATATGATTAACTATCAAATCTCTCATGTAAATGTATAAATTTTTGAGAACAGAGACTATCTTAATCTAGATTTCAATTCTTGTTTGTGTCCCAAACTCCTGAAGACATATACACAGTTTTTTCAGGACAAGAAAGAACCTCAGAAATGATCTGGGATCTGGGGCCAGGTAGATCTCTTTACTCTGCAAATGTGGAACCTGAGATCCAATTTTTGTTTATGTAGTTCTTGTCTAGTTTTCTACTGCCACAAAGAACAATGCCAAGTAACTGTAATATCATACGAATGAAACCCGATTGCACTTTTCAGGCTTGCAAATTCAAGGTAACACAGTACAGGAATCACAGTGCAAAGTCAGGAAAGAAGTTTAGTAATTAAGATTATGTTCAAAAGCTGACGTCGAAATCTACTTTCAAGTAGATTATTATTTATGAACAGAAATTTTCACTCTCTGCACATGTCTCCTGGCCAGAACCTTTTTTTTTTTTTGCCCTAGTCTTCTTACTATATTTTGATTCTGTGCCTTGAATCTCTTCCTAAAATACAGACCCTCAAAACTATACCACTGCCACTGACCTTGGTAATAAGAATTTTGAATGGTTTGCAAATTTCGTTCTTTGTGGCAGAGGGAGATCCCCAAGTGCAGAGAACAGGTCACAGCTACATTTGAGCAGCTTCTCGTGCCCCCAACTCGGTGTGAGACATTGACCGCAGTCAGGGCCTTTGCTCCCAGGCAGGGAAAAGGACATGCCGGCGGTTGCGCGACATCTCCAAGGTGAAACCCAAGACCGTCTGGGCCCCTACACCGGTTTTTCGGCCTCGCCTATCTGGCCTTTTTCTTCGGGCTCCAAGTGCAGAGACAAGGATGCCTAAGACCTGTGGGACACCTAGGAGAAAGCTCTCGGGAAGCTTCTAGGGCGGGCGACACCCGTTCCCGCGGGCGGCGCGGGCAGAACCGCTGCGGAGCGGGACGGGGAGCGCGGGGCGCAAGGAGGAGAAGTACCGCGCTGGGGGATCAGCGGTCTCGCAGCCCCCACCCCTGGGCGGGGCCCGGGCCGAAGCCGCGCCCGCAAAGTTACCCGAAGGCCGCGAGGTGCGAGGTGCGGACAGCTCCGGGAGGCGACGGCTGGGCGCCGCGGGCTTCCCTCCTTACCTTTCCTTCCCGGCCCTGCGCGGCGCTCCGGCCTGGAGCCCGCAGAACTTTCCCCGCGCCCCGAAGCGCGCAGGCTCGGCGGGCCGGCGGAGCCCCCAGTGCCCGTCTCGGAGCGCGCGCCTCGCGCCCTCCCCGCGCGCGCCCTCCCCGCGGCAGGGCGCAGCGTGAGCGCAGCCTTCTTCGGAGCGCGGGCGAGGGCCGGCGCGGGCGCGCGCTCCGGGACACAGCCGGGCGGTAGCTGCAGCCGAGCCCCCAGGGAACTCGCCGTGCGCCCACCCGCGGGCAAAACTGCTGGGAAGCCTGGTGGCCGCTGTGGACCAAAGTTTCCAAAGACGTCTACCCGAAGTGTACGCTGCCTAAAATGAATCCAGAACTCGCTATCATGCTAGGCAGAGAGTGATGGAGCTGATCTCTAGAATGAAAAGCGTCTGCCTTCTCACCCTTTCTCCACACATGCCATAAACAAAACGAAGAGATAAGTGACCAGAAGGAGAATGGTAATATGGAAATATATAGGCCAGAGAAAGATTTTATTCAAATCAATGAGCATGGGTAATTGGGTCAAAAAGCAAATGGTAAAGGATGTAGACCATCACTAAAGGAAAGAAAATTAAAAATACAAGTATTTAAAAAGTCAAAAAAAGTGATAAACGAATACATGCAATTTAAAGTAGTAATCAAGTGCATTTTTTTTTCTTCCTATGAAATTAGCAAAATTTTGTTTTGTTTTGGTGACCAAGCCCTATGGTGGTTGGTGAGGGCCCAGTGAAGCACACAACTTATTCAAGAATTCCATCTACCTCATTCTTGCTCACTTTCATTTTACATAACCGCGTTGGTAACAATGATTCCAGGAACAAGCATTTTCTGAGTAGTCAGTGTCTCTTTTGAGACAAAATAACCACAGAAGCAATGAATATAAATGACAAAATGAACTCCATTTTATTGATGCTAGAACTAAGGGTCAAAAAATACTCATATTCCTACACCCCACAAATGACTAGAAACCACTGAGCTCTTGGGATTTGCTCAAATGTTGGAAATTCAGTTGAACTGGATCTAGTCCATAATATATATTAGAGATATGGCCAGAGATGTGAGAAGGCCATAAGCTTTGAGGCAGATGTGCTCTGGGTTTTCTGGGTTTAAGATTTGACTTCCTTAATAGAGGGTGTTATTCTGATTAAAGAATAATATATACCTGTCTGAAAAACCAAAGCGAAACCCCCTTGAACAGTCAATAAACACTTAAAAAAATGCAGGACAGGAAGGTAAAAACAATTCCTGTCCAGGATGGGTACCAGTGGGAGGGGGAGGACAAAAGGAGAAGGTGAAGGAGGGCAAATATGGTGGATGTACTTTGTATTCATGTATGAAAATAGAACAATGAAAATTTGTTCTAAGTAAGGGGAGGGGAGATAAGGGAAAAGATGGAGGAGGTGAATCTAATTAAGATATATTGTAAGCACATATGTGAATGCCATAGTATATCCCCCTTTACAACTATCATATACTAATAAAATTTTTTTAAACACTTGTGCTTTACACAAGTGTTCTACATTTTCAAATTTTAAGTATTCAGAATTATTTTAATTAAAAAACTGAGACGTGACAAAGATATGCCATGTGACATCTTCTAGGGTGGCTCCTATGATTCTCAGCACTAGATCATTCCTTGGAGCCTTCCTCTTGAGTGCAGATGGGACCTGTGACTTGCTTCTAAACAACTATAGCAAAGGTGATGGATGTCACTCCTGTGACAACAATACATCATAAAAGACTCCCTCTTGCTAGCAGGCTCCCTCTAGAGATGGTCCTGTCTGTCTTGATGAAATAGTGGCCATGCTGGGGAAGTCTCCTTGTAAGGAAGTGTGGGTGGCCTCTAGGAGCTGAAAAGCAGCCTCTAGCCAACAGCCAGACAGCTAGAAGTCAGAGCCCGTCTCCTACAAACTGAAGGAAAGGAATTCCATCAACAGCCTAAGTGACCTTGGAAGTAGATTCTTCCCCAGTCAGGCATCCAGGTGAGAATGTAGACCAGATGGTGCCTCGACTACAGCTTTGTAAAACCCGAAACAAAGTTAATCCACACTGGATCCTGATTCAGGGCTCTGGATTCAACCCCAAATTGTCAAGTTACACATAGAATGCAATTCCTTCATTGATGAATGCTGTGTTAAATATTGCTGCCTAATGTTCTAGCTTTTCTCTTTCTTACTCTTTCACATGCATTTCCTTGCCTCCATCATAGCAGGGTCTCCACAAGACCAAGGCTCTAAGACAATGACACTCATAAGGTCTGTGGCTCCCTGAGACTCTCTGCTGCATTTCTATTTCAAAGATCACGCCTGCAACCCACAGCCTTCCTCCCTTCAGTCCTTTTGTTCCTTCTCTTGACCAGGACTGCTGTGGCTCAGCAGAAACACAGCTCAGCTTACACAATGCAAGTTGCACAGCGACATGAGGAATGTTCCTGCAAGGAACTAGGTGCAGGTGGAGTAGTAAATCATGTCTCGTTTAGTCCACTCATCCTGGTAAAGCTCTAATTTGAACCTTCCTCATGACATCATCTTGCTCCTCCTCCTGCCTCAGCCTTGGAGTTTATATATTTGTTAAATATCCTGCTTCCAGGTAAGATCCAGCCTGACTTGCTTTCCTTCCCTCCCGCTTCCTTCTCCATCCTTCCTCCCTTCCTACTTCCTTCCTTCCACCTCCCTCTTCTTCCTTCCTTCCACCTCCCTCTTCTTCCTTCCTTCCACCTCCCTCTTCTTCCTTCCTTCCAGGGTTCTTTCAATTTTTAATATCTCAATAATTCTCCCTAGTTCCTTTCTCTATGTCCTTCATTTTCTTTTTATTATTGTATATTTTATCATATAAGTAATATGTAAATATATCATATACTAATACGTATTTTATGGCATCAAACTATATTTGTCAACTATCTTTCTTAGACAACATAGCCTGAAGCTTGCTTTCGCTTTTTACATATGCATAAAATCATTCTTTTCAATGACTGCATAATATTATTAGTATATTATAATGTATCCATCTCCATAACTATTTAGGTTGTTTTTAGTATTTTGATAAAACAAACTAATGCTGTGTAGAAGACTCCCTGGGCATGTAGATGATGGCTTTCCTAAGGTAACCATCCAGAAGACAGCTTTCAGTTATGTTCATTTTCATATTATTACCTACTAACAAACTGTTCTCCGAAGTGGTGTGGCTGTTCCCACTCTATATTGCCCAGTGGAATTTGTGAAGAAAGCACAACACAACAGGGAGCACCCTCCTTTGAGCCGGCAGGAGTGGGAATGGCCCCAACCACTTTGGAGAACAATTTATCAGTAGGTTTTTGCTCTAGCTTTCTCATAATTGCTTTTCTCCTCTCTTCTTTTCTTCTTTTTTTCTTTTATTATTCATATGTGCATAAAAGGCTTCGGTCATTTCTCCCCCCTGCCCCCACCCCCTCCCTTACCACCCACTCCGCCCCCTCCCTCCCCACCAAATACCCAGCAGAAACTATTTTGCCCTTATTTCTAATTTTGTTGCAGAGAGAGTATAAGCAATAATAGGAAGGAACAAGGGTTTTTGCTGGTTGAGATAAGGATAGCTATACAGGGAGTTGACTCACATTGATTTCCTGTGCGTGTGTGTTACCTTCTAGGTTAATTCTTTTTGATCTAAACTTTTCTCTAGTTCCTGGTCCCCTTTTCCTATTGGCCTCAGTTGCTTTTAAGCTATCTGCTTTAGTTTCTCTGCGTTAAGGGCAACAAATGCTAGCTAATTTTTTAGGTGTCTTACCTATCCTCACCCCTCCCTTGTGTGCTCTCGCTTTTATCATGTGCTCAAGTCCAATCCCTTGTTGTGTTTGCCCTTGATCTAATGTCCACATATGAGGGAGAACATACGATTTTTGGTCTTTTGGGCCAGGCTAACCTCACTCAGAATGATGTTCTCCAATTCCATCCATTTACCAGCGAATGATAACATTTCGTTCTTCTTCATGGCTGCATAAAATTCCATTGTGTATAGGTACCACATTTTCTTAATCCATTCGTCAGTGGTGGGGCATCTTGGCTGTTTCCATAACTTGGCTATTGTGAATAGTGCCGCAATAAACATGGGTGTGCAGGTGCCTCTGGAGTAACCTGTGTCACAGTCTTTTGGGTATATCCCCAAGAGTGGTATTGCTGGATCAAATGGTAGATCAATGTCTAGCTTTTTAAGTAGCCTCCAAATTTTTTTTCAGAGTGGTTGTACTAGTTTACATTCCCACCAACAGTGTAAGAGGGTTCCTTTTTCCCCGCATCCTCTTTGCTAATGATGGCTATTCTAACAGGGGTGAGGTGGAATCTTAGTGTGGTTTTAATTTGCATTTCCTTTATTGCTAGAGATGGTGAGCATTTTTTCATGTGTCTTTTGGCCATTTGAATTTCTTCTTTTGAGAAAGTTCTGTTTAGTTCACTTGCCCATTTCTTTATTGGTTCATTAGTTTTGGGAGAATTTAATCTGATGTATAGCTGGCAAATATTTTCTCCCACTCTGTGGGTGTTCTCTTCAGTTTAGAGACCATTTCTTTTGATGAACAGAAGCTTTTTAGCTTTATGAGGTCCCATTTATCTATGCTATCTCTTAGTTGCTGTGCTGCTGGGGTTTCATTGAGAAAGTTCTTACCTATACCTACTAACTCCAGAGTATTTCCTACTCTTTCCTGTATCAACTTTGGAGTTTGGGGTCTGATATTAAGATCCTTGATCCATTTTGAGTTAATCTTGGTATAGGGTGATATACATGGATCTAGTTTCAGTTTTTTGCAGACTGCTAACCAGTTTTCCCAGCAGTTTTTGTTGAAGAGGCTGCTATTTCTCCATCATATTTTTAGCTCCTTTGTCAAAGACAAGTTGGTTATAGTTGTGTGGCTTCATATCTGGGTCCTCTATTCTGTTCCACTGGTCTTCATGTCTGTTTTTGTGCCAGTACCATGCTGTTTTTATTGTTATTGCTTTGTAATATAGTTTGAAGTCAGGTATTGTGATACCTCCTGCATTGTTCTTTTGACTGAGTATTGCCTTGGCTATTCGTGGCCTCTTGTGTTTCCATATAAATTTAACAGTAGATTTTTCAATCTCTTTAATGAATGTCATTGGAATTTTGATGGGAATTGCATTAAACATGTAGATTACTTTTGGGAGTATCGACATTTTTACTATGTTGATTCTACCAATCCATGAGCATGGGAGATCTCTCCACTTTCTATAGTCTTCCTCAATCTCTTTCTTCAGAAGTGTAGTTTTCCTTGTAGAGGTCTTTCACATCTTTTGTTAGGTTTACACCTAGGTATTTGATTTTTTTTGA